ATCTAGCGCATATATAAAAGCAGGTAAAAAGTATGATACTTTTTGTGGAACTATTGACTATGCTGCGCCCGAGGTAGATTCATTTGATCTATAATCTGGTAATTACGTAGAGAGAAAGAAATTTGCATCTTGAACGCGTTAGAGAATTGGCCTTAAAATTAAAAGAGTATCAACCAAATCCGTATTTAGATGAGCTTCCAATCGGGGAATCAACATTCGATATACAACATGATAATAATTATAATGGGGACAATCATAATAATAATAATGGCACAGAACTATCTCACGGCGGATTTGAGGATTCAGACAATGAAGGATATTCTCAAGAATCCGAATTGACGGAATCATTTACCAGCTCATTAACTGAAATTTTCAACGATTTTCACGTCAATGCATTCAAACTTTTCGTGGCGGAAGGTACGGAAAGAATGTTGCGTTTGTATCCGGGAATGCCTCTCGAAAATATCAGAGAGACGTTGGTTTTTCAATGGAACCAGATGGATATTTATCAACGTACACCTTGGATTAAGAAGGCAGACGAGACTCATGAAATTTACTCAAAAACTCTTATTGCCGATGGCGACCAAGGAAATTCTGAATATGACAGCGATAACTCGGAAGATATAAATGAATTAATTGAATCATCGGATGACGAAGAAACATCAGAGGAATCAACTATGAGTTTTCCTGATTTCATTTATTCAGATGTTGATGGCAAACAAAGCCCTATTGAATCATCGCAAGACACATTAGTTCCAAGTCGCCCAGTACTTGCACCTATACCTTCATGGCCCAGACCACCCGCACCTGCGTTCCTTCATTTTTCTGAATATATGAGACCCCGAATTACCGCAGAAAATCCATATTACAATTATGGTATTATCACAAAGTTAATTCGTGAACGTTGGGAGTCAATGACTGTCGAGGAACGCGCGCCATGGGGACATTTAGCTCAACAAGATGAAATTAGGTTCGAAAATGAAAAGTTGGCATCTAGCGATAAAGAGAATATTCCATTAGAATGTTATGGAAATAATAATCATCGATCACCATTGCAACCACGTAATCTCAATCAAATAAATAACCCTTATGACGAAACTATTATACCACAAAAGATTTATAAACCCGATGATCGTCGATATGGTCTTAAAGTTCCGGCTTTATACATGTCCGCTTACGACCTTTTTCTTGCTGAAGTTAAGACTGACTGTATGAATAAATATCCTTCATTAATTACCGAATCTCATCTTAATAAGTGTATATATGATAAGTGGAAGGCAATGGATACTGAAGAACGAAAACCTTGGGAAGAAAGGGCTGCAATAGACAAACAAAGATGGGAGAACGAAAGGAGAGAGTATTTATCTGATCAATTAAGGCGTTTTTCCGAATCTCAGCGTGGGATTATGTTAAATGATTGGGCTAAAACCGATACTAGTTAATTTTCCGTTCTTAATTAGCGACATGTTTTCATTATTCGTGTCAAGCTTTTATTTTCCTTTTTTTAATACCATGTATAAAAGACAACTTTTACTATTGGTTTTAAAATATAGATTAATAAAAACAAATGCAAATTAATCAGTTGCTTCTTGGTATTTTACATAATCCCTTTTTTCTTTTACATAAATGTTGAAGCCTGTACTCCATAAAGCGGATAGAAGACTTCTAAATGTGTACAAATGGGTTTACTTAAACTAATATAATAAAAATCAAATAATAATCCAAATTCTAATACTATACAATCTTATCTAAGAGTCTATAATAAATTCGAATACTAACGTAAAAAATAACTATCCAGTTTTAAAAAATCATTCCTCCCGCAACCACTGATGATTTAAGACATCGTCTATCGATGGACGCTTATCTACGTCACGATCAAGCATTTTCTTAACAAGATCGATTGAACCATCGGATAATATATAAGGAATTCTAAGATCTCTAGCAATAATTTCATCAATATTATAGAACGGGTTCTCCTTGTAAATGAGTGTATATAACAAAATACCCAAAGCCCAAATGTCTTGTGGCGGACCATCATATTTTTTTCCGGTCAAGACCTATGCAAAGATAAAATAAATACATCAAATTTTAAATAAACTCAAAATACAGACCAACCAAAATTCAAATAAACCTACCTCGGGCGCAGCATAGTCAATAGTTCCACAAAAAGTATCATACTTTTTACCTGCTTTTATATATGCGCTAGAT